AAAAAATCAAATCCATTAACATCTAGTTCAAGGTTCGGTAAACTTTTGACATGAAAGAGCCAATCCTGTCCCTCACAATCATTTGGAAAGTATTTAAGAGCCATCAATTTATTTTCATAAACAAATGAGATCATCATGATCTGAATGCTATCCATTAAATTTTTTTCCATTTTACTTCACAGCCACAGGTAAGTCCTGCAAGAGTACCAGACGGTTCAAGAGATGTAGTGTGCTGACCCTTGACCTAGTTGTTTCTGACCTCTGATGGGCCCTGAACTACCGAGTAGAACTACCCCGTAATGTGGACTGCCATATCTTTCTTCGTTCCGTGGGGCAGACGGTGGGTTCAAGGTGCTGACCTTTCGGTTTCACAGCATGGCACTGGACACTGGGCTGTATGTGATGTAATCCTGTTTCTGACACTGGTCACTGCTAGTGCTAATCGCACACATTGCCACTTGCGGAATGGATGTTGTCATCAGGATGACATTGAGGATGAGACTGGGCAAAGAGATAGTCATCAACCAGAGGTTCTACCCTTCTCCTGCGGAAGGACAAGTGGGTCACAGAAAGCCCAAGCAGCCATGCTCCTGACCCCGGGAGGGTGCAGCTACGGTTCTCCAGGAATAAAGTTGGTGCCCACATCTGCTAGGGCAGAACATGGCTGTGGACAACACTTCTCAGCCTCAGGACATTGAGCATTGCCCACATTCCAAATTTCTTATACATATGCAGGGTGAGGAAAGAAGTAAATTGTCCTAAGACAGGACGAGTTAGACAAGTCCAAAAACAGTATTTCTGGCTAAGAGAAAAAAAGTGGAAGTAACCTACTTGGGGGTTACTTCAATGTTGAATTGGTCTTCAAATTGCAGCTGTAAGAGCTTTCCAGGAGGAGCAAATAAGATCCAAATGCAATCAGCGTGCTGGGGATAGTTGTCCGGGTAGTTGGGGGAGCTCACATAGCCAGCAGCATCAGCGTCGTGGACATAAATATTGCCCCCACAAGCTGTCAGGAAGCACAGTAAAATCAGTCTACACTCTGCTGAAGGACAGTCAACTGACAATATGGGTTTTTTTTAAATGTCAATTTATCTACATTTCCAACCTCCATTTCTTTTCATCTGGAACTGCGCCTATTTTCTTAAGTGAATGACCCCGAATTTTCATTTCATTTCGTAGAGTCACCAGGTATATCACGCTTTACTTGGCCAAGTAATGTGCCAAGTTTTCACTCTTTTTAAAAATTAATTGATCCCCCCAACCCCACTTTTCTTTAAAGACAACAAAATAATTATGGTACAACATACAGGTCTTGTGTGAGGCACTCACACACACTTGGGTAAATATGCTTATATCCTAGTGGGCACAAGTTCCCAATGGACTGCTCAGTTCAATAGAAAGACACAGAGTCTTCTGATCTTTAACTGTTTAAAAAAAGTAAGCAAATTCCTGTACCTCTGTGGGCATTTGTTTAATATCTTCTTGTAGAATGTAGACACATTTGAAGAATAAGAAGAATAAATTGTCCCAATGGCATGGGACAATTGGATGATTGTTTTTTTTGCAAGAAGATAGATGAGATTTACTACTTCCTTTCTACAAGCTACCTAAAAATACTTTCCTTTTATTAATAAACATTCATTGGCAGCTCCAGCAAATCAATCATGCAAAAGTGAACTGCATGCCTGCCATGCCAATGTAATTATCCTGTCCAATAATTTAGCCTCACAGAAGAGGCACAGCGCTTACAAATAGATATTTAGTGTACCTGGATTACCAGTAAATGTTGACACTGAAATATAAACCGATAAAATTTAACATCTAGTCATTTATTTTCCCCTTTGATTCATTTTAAATTTATTCTAATTTTTAATATTTTATGCTTTATTTTCCAGTGAGGTTTTATTGGTTTTGTTATTGTTGTTTTTTTTAAATGTTTTCCTGTATATGAAATCCACTATAGGAAAATATATAGAAACAGTACCTAGATTAATAATTCCTTTAAAGGATGATAAGGGAAGTTGGGGTAAAATGGGAATCAAATAATGATGAATACAAGAATGAAGAAAATATTCTAAAATTGATTGTGGTGGCAATTGTACAACTCTTCTTGATGTGGTTGAACTATTGAATAGTATGATATGTAATTTATATACCAATAAAATTCTAAAACGAAAAGGTAAACTAAGACTGAGATGCTCAAGGGGAAAAACAAGAAATAACAAACTAAAAATACACAAAAGTTCTGTGAGGTGAACATAGCCTAGCCACCAGACAAGAGGCTCGGATGGCCTGACCCTGCCTCAGTCCCAGGTGGAGTCCTACCCACCAATGGCGCAGCAGCAGTGCTCAGCATGGAGCCCGGGCAGCAGGAGAAACACATGTCCCATAAGTAGTGGTGCTGGTATTTAAGAAGCTCCGCTTTGAAAGCTCCTTTCAAGGGCAAGGGCAGGGTGTGCTGTGAAGTGCCAGACATACACTCCCTAGAGTCTGAGAACCTATTGTTGAGTCAGTTGGGGGAGAGTTCTCTTTTCTTTCGTCTGTTGCCCAACGTAGAAAGGCTGCGGGCACTTTTAAGTTCTCAGAGTTTGTATGTCTGCAAAATGGTTTCATACAGAGAAAAATGTACTTTGAACTTAAACCAGCAGTATCCCATGAAATCCTAAAACCAAATAAGAGCTTAGCTTAACTCAATTAAATACATGTCTAACTGAAGTGTGATGTCCTTGGAAGAACTCACTATATGGAATGAAAGTGGCAACAGTAACTCAAGAGATTATAGAGGAATATTAGGGGACAGTGTGCAGGTAATGAGGGAGGGACAACTCAGACAGGGAGGATGAGAATGGCTGCCTTACTGGAAGAAAGTTTACCGTACAGATGGATGGATTGGTATAGGTTTTGCTGTGTATATACTCAAAACAGTAACAAACTTGAATTAAAAAATGTACTTTAAGACATATTCAAGAATCTGGAGTCCTACAATCATGCTGAAATCCATAATAATACTGATTTTTTTACAAACAAGCCAAGGTTTATTCTTTGTGTAGCTCTCTCCTGGTAGGTCTCAATTTTCTTGAAATTATGACTATTTGCTTATTTACTTAATTGAACATTATACAAAAATAAATGTCATGTGAATTAAATCATTACAGTAGAATAAGATATAATTTTAATCAAATGTAATTAAGTAAAGGTAATCAAGTAAAGATCACTGCACTAACATATAATTTAATGGGTAATAATAAAATCAGATGATAACGTGTTCTTTTAAAAGGAAGCATACACATTATTGCAAAACAAGGCAATTACCATTTTTACACTGTTTCTGTAACTGGATGTAGCTTATAATTACACATTTTATCATGAAAAAGTCTAAGTAATTTCAAGGAATCATAAAGCCCTGTTCCTTTCATAATCATGGAGAATCTCACGTTGGTCACTCACTACAGATGTGGTCTGGGAAAAGGTCTACGTATCATTTTACTTATTGGTAACAGAAGTAATGATCCTCCCATTAAAAAGAGCCATGCGACAAATGTACAAATGTGCCTGAAACAACGGATGGAGGGATGGATTGTGGTAAGAGTTGGACAAGCCCCCAATAAAATGATTTTTTTAAAGCCATGATGAAATACTGACTGAAGTATCAAAACTTTACTGGGTAGTGAGCTTATTAGCATTCTTATTTTTACTGCAGAAAGGGAAAAATTACATAACTTTTCTCAAATCTATACCTTTCTAAGAAAAGAACAGACTTCAATCTGAATAAAAGTACTTACCTAAACTCTTTGCTTCATATTTGATCTTAAATCCTTGCCCGCCATGACTATGATCAGAAATAAACTGAACAAACATTTCATTGTCAGAGGTGAATATAGTAGAGAAAGGACGACTACCACAAAAACGACCATTTCCTCCGTGGGGTCCCAAGGGTGGAGAATAAATATCAGGTCCATTTTTCAGCTGCAAAGACAAATCAGAGTTGCATAATTTACTTCATCCTGTGGAAAAGTGGAACGCAATGTTTCTTATCAATTTGTGTCTCAGGAAAGAAAAATGTCCTTTTCTTTTCTGGCTGAAGTGTGCAGAGAAAGCAATTAGATCAACAACCTACCACTAAATAATCCCCCTGGTTGCAAGAAGCATCTTCGTTTGCAATCTGGAATGGCTGTTCAAAGTGGACCGCGATGGTCAGACCACTTTGGACCAGGACATGCCACGAGCAGTTGAGGCTGGGAGGGTAGGCTTCAGGATACATGGGTGACGCAATAATCCCTCTGTCGGCATGCAAATAGCCCCCACAACCTTCACAGGAAGAAACACAGAGAGGGCATCACAACAGATGCAATATTCATTCTTGCTGTTTTTTTGAGAATTTTCAACACATGAGCAACAGAAATTTGGCTTGATCTACATTTAACCTCTTCCCTGGGGGATGGACAACAGAAAAGTGGGTGAAGGGAGACGTTGGACAGTGTAAGATATGACAAATAATAATTTATAAATTATCAAGGGTTCATGAGGGGGCAGGAATGAGGAGCTGATACCAAGGGCTCAAGCAGAAAGCAAATGTTTTGAGAATGATGATGGTAACACATGTTCAAATGTGCTTGACACAATGGATGTATGGATTGTGAAAAGAGATGCATGAGCCCCCAATAAAATGATTAACATTTTTTTGAATTGAAATTAACTAGGACAAAATACAGGGCATCCTTAGTGCAGTAACTTCTACTGAGTACCCCCTAACCTCCTGTCAGATCTGTAACTATAGAAGTAAGCAATGGAAACCAATTCCTTACTTTCACGAGGCTCACCATATACATGGGGAAATAGGCTCTCATCATAAATATATAATATGTTTAAGTTCTCTAGAGAAAAATGAATGGCGGTCTATGTGGAGTAGGGTACCGTATTGTTTGGTGAAGTTATGGAAGGTCACACTAATGTCAGAGAAACACCTGAGCAAAGGCATGAATGAAATAAAAGATCAAGTCACAGGACTCTGTGGGAGAAGAGTACTCTGGGCCAGAGAACAATGCAAAGACTGAGTATTTGAGGTTGGCAGGTAGGTAGAGTGGAGGGGCCAGAATGGGTGGTTGGAAAGGAAAAGTAGCAGGACATCCTTTGACAGGATTTCTTCTGGGTAAGAAAAAGAAGACATTAGCAGGTTTGGAGCAGCAGAACCACATAAGTTTTCTATGATTTCTCTGTCTGCAATGCTTAGCCTAGAAGAGCTAGGACATAGTATAGCAGAAGGAAGGTCTCCACTAAGGAGGTAATGGTTACCCAAGTCTAAGCATAGACTACAGATGATTGGACTAGAAGGACAGAAAAAGTGGTTTGACTCTAGAAAAAATTTAAGAGTAGGACCATGGAGAATTGTTGATGGTTAGGATGTGAGAAAAAGAAAAATCAAGGATGGTACTCAGTTTGTTTTTGTGCTTAAAATTTAGAATGTACTTTCTACGTACCAAGAGTGTGTAAGGAACAGTTTTGGGAGGAGGGGTAGAAAAAATGGAATCAAGAATTCTGTTTTTCACATGGTTTCATTTTATCTTTCTGATATGGAGCTGTTACACACACACACACACAATGACCTTCCCTAGGTCAGGCAGATGATTAACAACTTAACTGCTAACCAAGAGGTTACAGGTTGGTTGCACCCAGAAGTGTTCACATGGAAAGGCCTAGAGATTTACTTTCAAAAAATCACCCAGGAAAGAGGAAAGTTCAAGGAAATAGAGAAAAAAACTGGGAGGAAAAGGACATTTATAGAGGTCTAAATACAGGCGTGTATATATGTAAATACATTTATATACAATGACAGGGGAATAGAGCTATGTACATATATTTATTTATAAAGTATTATGATATGGATGGACATTGAGCCTCCACTCAATTACTCCCTCAAAACAAGAACAATTAGTTCTACTAACATGCCACTCTGTGATGTTCACCTTCCCTAACACAATTGCTGAAGACAAAATGGGTGCATAAGCAAAGGTGGTGAAGAAAGCTGATGGACCCCAGCTATCAAAAGATATAGTGTTTGGGGTCTTAAAGGCTTGAAGATAAACAAGTGGCATCTAGCTGAGAAGCAACAAAGCCCACATGGAAGAAGCACACCATCCTGTGTGATCATGAGGTGTCGATGGGATCAGGTATCAGGCATCAAAGACCCAAAACAAAAAAGCATATCAATGGAAATGAGGGGGAGGGCAGAGTGGAACCCAAAGTCCATCTATAGACAATTGGACACCCCTGTCAGAACAGCCACAAGGAAGAGAAGAGCCAGTCAGGGTGCAGTATAGCACTGATGAAACACCCAATCTTCCTCTAGTTCTTGAATGCTTTCCCCCGCTCCCTACTACCATGATCCCAATTCTAGCTTACAAATCTGCCTAGACCAGGACATGTACACTGGCACAGACAAGAGCCTGCAACACAGGGAATCCAGAACAGATAAACCCCTGAAGACCAACAAAGGGAGCAGCTGTACTAGGAGGGTAAGGTGGTGGGGGGAGGGGGGAGAATAAGGGGGAACCGATCAAAATGATCAACTTATGGTCCCCATCCCAGGGAGATGGACAGCAGAAAAGTGGGTGGAATGAGACAGCAGTCGGTATAAGACATGGGGGGGGGGGAAGACGTGAGAAAGGAAGAAGAATTTATCGATTATCAAGGGGGCATGGGGGAGGGAGGGGGGAAATGAAGAGCTGGTGTCAGGGGCTCATGCAGAAAGAAAATGTTTCGGAAAAGATGATGATAACATACATACATATGTGCTTGACAAAATGGATATATGTATGGATTGTGACAAGAGCTGTAATAGCCCCCAATAAAACAAAATTTAAATCTTAAAAAATGCACCCACTGAAAACCCAACGGAGCATAGTTCTACTGTGACCCATGGTGTCCCCATGAGCGGAACCAGCTCCAAGCTACTGGTGCTGGTCAAGTACGCATGCACAACAGCTAATGTGAGCGACTGGAGGTGGGGAGCAGAAAGCAGAGAAAGCAGGGATTCATTGCTGCCTGACAGGGATTTAACAAAGAATGGGTGAGTGCCAGGGTTCACACACGAGTTAAATCACAGCAGGGAAAATGTTCTTAGATCGGTTTAATTCAAAGCCCATTCTCTCAATCAGTACTGCAGACTGTCTCTCTTGACTGTGAGCAGAATCATTTACTTTCACCTGCACCCTACTTCAAAAGGCCTACATAAGTGAGGAGGATATATTGAATTATTTTCTAATGTTTAGACTGAGAATCTACCTACACATTTTATTTTTCGGTAAAACACCTGAGAGTGTTTAGACATTTCATGGACTACTTCTTTTAACATTCACCTATCGGGGGTATAAAGTTATTACCTTTTGTCACATTTTGAACATCTCAATCACACTCGGTATTACAATAGTTCAAGATACTGGGCACAGTCTCTGAGTTAACGCGTTCATATTTCAAGTGTCACAAAGTCTTCCTTCCGAACACTAAAATGGATAGTTTTCACCAAGGGTTTATGAAGATCTCTACTCTGTTGTGTTGACTACTTGTTCCTCAGAGGGAAGAGAACTTAAGTTGCCATTCCCTTGATGAGTTGTCTTCTAGATCCAGCCCTCTGAGAGGTAGAAACTTTTTCTTAAAAAGTAGATCTTATTGGCGACTTCCCTAACCTAGCTCGTTTGGTTATGGAATCTGCCCGGGAGTTCTTCCCTGTCTTAATAAAGCCTTTTCTTTACTTCTCAAAAAAAAAAAAAGGGTGTCTACAAGAAGCCCATCTCCTTAGGGAGGAAGATCCCCCTACCACAGAGACATGAAGGCAATAGAACCCTAGTGCCATTCGTTCTGAATATGGATTCAGGACACGGCTCCTGGACTTAGCCACCCAGAGACCCGTGTCTTCTGATTTATGACTGTGTCCTGTCATGGAAAAACGCGCATAGTACATTAGGGAGAGAGAAAGATTGAAGAAGGGGAGGGGGCCTTATCTGAAAATATTACTCTTGTGAAAGGATGCATTGAAGCCGGCCCCGGTGAGCGTGGCGTCGGAGGTGAATCGCAGCAGCATGTACTCTCCGGTAGACCTGATGGGACCTGGGATTTTTTTGCCACACAGAACTGCTAGCTCCTGGGCCTCGCTACTGTCTCCTGCGAACAAAGAATAGAAATGTCAGCATGAGCATATGGGGTCTGCAGGATCTACTCCACGGTCAGTGGCTCACGTATTTCCCACAGAACAGCCACCATTCCTAGGAGATGTGATTCTCAGAGAAAAGGAAGCCCCAGGGTTACATCATCCTGTTCACAGCTTGTAAGGGCGCCGCATGCCTTTCTTTTCCTTGACTCTTTGATTAAGCCTTCTTTGACAGTTCCTACTACTTTTCTGAAAAAACCTTCCTGGCCAGTTCTTCCTGGCATCCAGCTCGGAACCAGAGTTCACGGAATTAGGAAGTGGTAGAAGACCCAGGCTTTTATGAGTGTTAAGTGGCGCCTCCGCCTTAATGTTCTCTGATTGGTGAAGGTCAAGTATCCAAGAGAAACACAGGTCCATTATTAACATTATGAAGCCATTTACTGAGAGGTGGAAACTCGTACCCTTTCTTCAGTGATGAAGGCTCTCTTTTTTCTTGTGTTCATGTTATTTTTTGTGTTGCAGATAAAAGAACACACACATTCCCATGTGTTCACGTGCCCGTATATGTGGAGAAGCAGAAAAGAAACCACTCAGGCCCCTGTCAACAGGTGTGCCCTTCTCGGAGCAGTGAACCTGCTGGGACACCACAGAGGGCTGTTTTGCTTGTCTCGGAGTTGTTCCCATCAGCCCACTTGTCCGGGCCCAAACCAGAGCGGAGCTAAAGGAAATTAGAACAACTGTGGAACTCCTCACTGGGAAAATGCAAGAGTGTTTTCCCCTAAGGCAGAGAATTAACAGAATATCAAACCTATAAAAATCAGACATAGAAAATGAGGAAATTCGCCTTTTTACAAAAGCAACAAAATGAACATTTTAAAACACAGACTCCTACTCAGAACTCACTATGACCTGCTGTAGAAAACAAATGATTTTCTATTTCAGTAATCATAAATGGAATGGCACAGTTGTAAATACAGACACTTTAAATGACCTCTGGAAACTTTTGTCTTTTTTGCCACTCAAATCTTTATCTGAAGGGATAGCTATATAACATAACAGTATATAATAGTTGCAGATATATATAAACCATTAAATTTTGCAATTAGGAAATAGAGTTATTTTTATTCATTGAATTTGTTATGAATTTACTTGTATCTTCAAAAAATAGATGTGTTGTGAATCCTAACTTCTATGCCTGAGGTTTTAATCCCATTTGGAAGGAGCTGTCTTTGTCATATTAATGAGGCCAGTTAGTGCAAGGTGTCTTGCGTCTAGAGCTTTTTTGAGATATTAAAAATAACAAGAACTCACTACCATCCAGTTGCTGCTGACTCATAATGGCCCTACAGGACAGAGTAGAACGGCCCCTGCGACTTTCCAAGACTGTAACTCTTTGTGCAAATCAATAGTTCTTTACTCCACAAGTGAATCTATCCTATGTCAGTGCGCCTGGAAAAGGTCTGCTGAGTTTTAATTCTCTTCTAAACATTACCCAAGACTGTCCGACCAAACAGCAGTTCTTACCGGAAACAGTACTTATTTGTTGATAGGGTCACTATGAATCAGAACTGACTCGATGGCGGTGAGCTCGGTTTTTGTGTTGGTTGATTAGCTAACCGATGAATTAGTAGATAACCCAGCATAGTAAGTAACCCAGTAAATAAGATTATTGGTTCCTTCTGAATCACCAATTGAATATTGGGTACTTCTACAACCTTCGAGAATATAAAATATAGATCATAACAGAAATAAAGAGAAGGGGAAGTCAAAGAACTGTAAAAACTAAGGCTAGAAGATACTTAAATGATTAGCTCGCTAATCTAAATTTATTTAGCAATGTGGAAAATGAGGCCCCAAGATTATTAACAGCTCATGAATAGCCCTCGTGGCATAGTGGGCTATGTGCGGACCATGAGGTCAGCAGTTCAAAGCCACTGGTCACTCTGAGGGAGAAAGATGAGGCTTTCTACAGTAATGAGTTACAGTCTTGGAAACTCAGAGAGGGCAGTTCTACTCTGTCCTATAGGGTCACTGTGAGTCAGCATCGATCATCACCATGGCAGAGAGAGAGAGAGAGAGAGAGGAGAGCAGTTACTGATAATTTCTATGTGTCAAAGACCACTGTAAGCCTTGAAAGAATAACGCCAGATGCCCACATATTCGGCAGGAAAATTATTGATACAAGATCCTAAGAAGAACGTATTTCAGACCAAGGACTGGATATAGGATCATAGATTTTCTTCCTTCTCTCCTGGCTCCCTCCCACTTACCTCCTTTCATTCAGCTCTTTCTGGGCCCAGTGCAGTTACATGAAACTTAAGTTTGGGGGGCTGGGAAGGAGTGGATCTTTGATAAGTAAAATGAATTGGAGCCTGGCCTGGAAAAGAGGGATTCCGTTCTGAAACATGATACCTCTGCAAAATGAATAGGCCCATACTATTCCTCTTTTCTTACTGCTGAGCAGCACGCTGAAAGTGTGGGAATAACAAGAGATGGAGAAGCACCCGTTAATTCTACCTGTTTGCTATGGATAAAATTATGCCCCTCAAAAATATGTGTTATAAATCCTCAGCTCTAGGACAGTGGTTCTAATCTCATTTGGGAAAGAGGCAGGGTTACTGTAGGATGCATCCTGAGTACATCACTTTTGAGATCTAAGAGATTAAACAAACCTGCAAAATAGAGAGATTGCAGTAAATGACTGGAAATGAATACATTGCAATTATAAAAGTGTTTCCGACGTGTATCTAAGATACAAGCATACCATAGCCCTATAAACTGGGTAAGCCCCAAACCAAATTCATTGGAATCAGGTCATTCTGACCCCTAGACACACTATAGGACAGAACAGAACTGCTCTTGTGGGTCTCCTAGTCTGTAAATCTTTGTGGGAGTAGAAAGCCTCATCTTTCTCTTGCGCAGAGGCTAGCGGTTTTGACCTGTTGAGCTTTTTTGGTTAATAGCCCAACATATAACCCACTACGGCTATCAGACTATCAGATGCTACTGATGGGAAGATAATGCTTGCCTGGGTGATCTTGTCCTAGACAACCTAATGCTTTCTTTACATTCTTGAGAACATCTGGAAAATTCTGTTCCCAACCAATAGAGACCATAAACTTGTTTTAAGTATTCAATCCAACTCAACGTGTGTCTGTTTTTGTTCTTTAAATGAATTGTGGACTGCTACTCACCATCGTTTACTACAAGTTTATCGTAGTAGCATGATTCATGTGATTCAATGTCCATGGAGAGGATGTTGAGTTCCACAGTAGAGTCAGGAGCGTGGATAAGCCACGCGCAGTCAGCCCGGTCACTGTATTTTTCAGGCCAGCCTGGGGAGAACAGAAAGGCAGGCGCATCTCCTGTCCTCAGAAACCCACCACAAGCACCTGCGAAATGAAAAACACCTTTGACATAACTCTGCTGAAAAAGGAATCAGAACTTCTGTGCTTTCCAGGGACAACCCCATCCTAAGAAACCAGCACTTGAAACGAAACAACTGTTCCTGAAGGACGACCACATTAAACCCACAGATTCAGACAGCAGTGATTTTCATATTTTATTTGCTTGTGTAAGAAAAATATCAGAGCCTAATTTTCACCATGATGTTGCCACATGACCCATTTATTCTTGAGTGCCTATCAATGGATTTTAATTGTGTAGGAGGTAAAGAATACTGAAGGTTCTGTGGACTGCTAAACCTGGCCAATACAGACATTAATTGAAGGGTGAAGAGATAAATGGCTCAGTGAGTCTCACCTTTCTAGTTCTTGGGTCTCTTGCTTTGTGATGGTCAGACTAGGGTGCAGCTGCCTTAGCCAGTTCCCTGCTTCAGCTGACAAGGCTCACTTCCTGCAAGACATCCCCGAGGAGAAGTCGGATAGACCTACCCCGATGCAGCCCTGGGGCTGCAGCAGCCATGTGGAGACCCCTACCAGTCCTGAGATGCTTCCATGTTCACTGACTTGGCTTTCCTCCTGCAGACGGCATCATTGCGTGTGTTTTGTGAGATGGAGGAGGGCTTTGTGGATTGGTGTCGGACACATGGGTTAATGGGTCAATGATGGATGTATAGGCTTGGGCAGTGCTGGGTTGGGATGTTTTCTTGATGCACACTTAACCTTTATATAAAACTCTCTCTTATACATGAGTTTCTGTGGATGTGTTTCTCTAAAGTACCCAGATTAACATAAGAACAAACATCTGTCTTAGAAGAAATGCAGTCAGAATTCTCCTTAGCATCAAGGATAGTGAGCCTTGGTCTCTGGTACTTTGGACATTTTATCAGGAGACCAGTCCCTGGAAAAGGACATCATGCTTGGTAAAGTAGAAAGTCAGCCAAAAAAGCAGCTACTGACAATGTGGATTGACACAATGGCTTCAACAACGGGCTCAAACATAAGAACAATTGGGAGGATGGCGCAGGCCTGGGCCTTTGTTTCCTTGTGTTCTACAGAGGATCTCTAACAACTACCGTTATGTAGAAAGTTAACGTACTCATTTACACTGTTAGGGAAGAACTACATTCACAGTTATTACATAACTTAATTCTCATTGTTCAGCATAGGGACTTGTCCTTTATTTATATTGAGGCAATTCTATACAAAATTTCAGTTTGGTAAACTGAAATCCACACATAAGGGCTTATGATGGTTACAGCTATTTTAAAATTCAAGCATGGTTTTATTTTTCAATGACTGTAAAAATTTACCCTTTTAAAGTGTCCAAGTGTGTAGCTCCCAGTGTATCCACCACCACCATCTTATTCGAGGGACATTTCCACACCCCCAAAAGTCACCATGTACCCAACAAGCAGTCATTTCCCATTCTCCTGGTCTCCACCACATCCCACTCAACTCACACCCCAGAAACCACCAACTGACCGTTCCTATGAATTTATGAATTCTGTACATTGTATATAAGCAGATCCATACAATATAGGACCTTCTTGACAGTCTTCTTTTCACTGAAATAATGTTTGCAAGACTCATTTAGGTTGTAGCATCTGTGTGTACAAGTACTTCAATCAAGCTTGGTTTATCCATTCATCAGTTGATGAGTTTTGAGTTGTTTCCCCTTTGGGGAAACCATGAGTAATGTTTCTATGCATTCATATGGTTTTTGGATTGATGTTCTCTTGAGTATATAACTAGGAATAGAACTGCCAGGTCATGTGGTAACTCTACATTGAAGCCACTGGGAAACTGCCAGACTGCTTTCCAAAGAGGCTGAACCACTTTCCCACCAGCAATAGATGAGGGCTCAAATTTCTGCACGTCCGTGCCAACCCTTTTCATTGCTGTCTTTCGTTGTGAATGTGAAGTGATGTTGCGGATCTTTTCATTCACTTATTGGCCATTTCAGGAGCTGTACCCCAAGGTCGGCAAGTCAGCTGTTTGCTGGACTGTTTTCACATTGCAATCTCTGGGCCAGGTTCAATAAAGATAAGCCTAGTAAATGGGGCTGGTCCAGGATGCTTCCAGGCACGTTAAAGAAAGACATTTCTTGGGGACGGGGCATTATAACGAGCTCTAAACCCGTTCTCTCTACAGTGGCTTCCAGGTTGATACTTCTCAAAGCAACCATAAATTGCAGGTTGTTGTGAAACTACTGTAAATCTGGAGGGGCGGGTGGGAATGGGCCAGGAAAAAAAAGCCATTAATTTTACTGAGAGTCAGTCCTTTACACAGAAAAAAAAAAATCCCTCAGATGGCTTCAAATTTTTGGTTAATTATTTATGGTTTTCAAAAAGTTGATATTGAAATGTTGCTGCCAATATTCTCTTTCTTAAATATGAACGGAGTTTCAGAGGTGTTTATTCTGCATTCTGGACATTTGTGACTCTTTGGATCTTACTAGGGCCACCGAGGAGTGAACAGAAAATGTTTATAGGGCTAGGCCCTAATTCTTTTTATCATATGCAGAATTCCAAAAAGGCCTCTAAAGGCAATTTCCATTTATAAGACTGTTGTCCTGTGTCATCACATTAAACCATGTGCATCCTGAAGAGGTAAGACAGTTTTCACCCTGACCGACTAAATGTTCCAAAGACACGGTAGAAAGTCACTTCCTGATAGTCCTGTGGGTGGGTGAAGCCATCTGCCAGTTTTGACCATGAATGATGATAAAAGAGCACGTGTCGCTTGTGAAGTTCACACTTTTAGGCTGAGAGCTTTCAAGTCTCTTTCTCTGTCCGCTATGGTCCCTGACTGGTACTTCCCAGGGAGTGATGAGGGTCAAGGGCTCCCATTTAAACTATGGAGGATATTTAGCCTGACAAAAAGAGACCTTTCTGTTTTCAGTCACTGAGACTTCGGTGTTGTGATCCTATTTATTTCCTTCTCCACTTAATGGTACAATGCTACAGAATATTTCCTTAGAAGAGAATTAAAAATTTTTTATGCTATAATCTTTTTCGTCATGCCTAATCTAAGATTTGGAGACATAAAAATAATATATCTCAAGGTTATTTATGAAAGCACTGGCTGTATCTATCAAGATTTAAATGTGTCTCTAAATTGTACTTGGCAAACATGCTGATAGTTCCTTGCTCTTAGATAAAACCCCTAACTCCAAACTCATTGCCGAATTAATGGCGACTCATGGAGACCCCTGTGGGTTCCGAGACTGTAAATGTTTCCAAGAGTAGAAAGCCGGATTTCCCCCATGGAGCTGCTGGTGGTTTTGAACTGCCAACCATGTGGATCACAGACCAATGCTTAACGAGTACCTCACCAGAACTCTTACATAAACAGATTAATATTTTAGGAAGAGAATCGCATTCACTATAATGAAGGAACCTCATAAAGGAAGAATTATGAGTCCTTCATCAATGTTCTCTGATGATACAAATTACAAGTTAAAGCACCTAGGCCCTAACATTTAAAGGTGTATTTAATACTAGAGTAACTAAAATAACCTCTGAGAAATGTCTCCCAAATTTTTCTGAAGCAACTGTCAAAGTCATAGTTGGTGCAAATAATTTTCAAGGGAAAGGCACACATTTTTACTGAGAAAAGGATGTCTTAAAAGAAATTAAGCTAATTTAACCCTGATGCATAAGAATAGCAACCAGCAGAGGAGAAAATGAGTCATTTCTAAAGGTACACTAAAGATAAATGCAGAAACCCATGACAGCCTCTGTCTGTCAGTGAATCCTCAGTCGTGGCATGTGTGTGGTGTGCGTGCACTCATGTACACATCACATCTGCAAAGCAAATTTTTAAAAATTCCTAAACTGGTCTTTAGAAATTACAATGAAAATATATGCGGGCTATAAAACCCTTAATCAATTTTATGCACAGTATGTAAAATCTGCTGACTTTATAGACAGAAGCATATGTTTTAAACAAAACATAGTGTATGAATTTATACCAACATTTAAATATATGAGGAAAGGATGTGAGGCCAAACCAATTCCTATAATTCGTGTGTTTGGATCTATTATAGTAAGACTTTGAAATTTCTTTCCACACAGATCAGTCCTGAGAATGAATTCCATTGATTGCCAAACACACCTGGAGCAATGGTAGGTAAAGGTCCATCAGACGCAGCCACGGCAAACCACTCCAGAAGGAATCCTTTCCCGGAGACTGAAGAGTCAGAAGAAAACTGAAATGTCAGAGAATTCCTAGAGGACACAAAGGATGCAGGCTGGGTACCACAGAAAGTTCCAATTTTGCGGGAAAGAATGCCAAGCCCATCAAAAATCTGCATTCAAAACAAGAGGATAGAGCACTGTGTTTAGAGAAGTACCTTTTTTTTTTTCATTGTAAAGAGAAAAGCACAATCATAATTTTTAAGGGAAAAATACATAATTGAAATTGAAATTTTCAAAAAGCCACTAAAGATGTACTTATGAAACATTTCATGTTTTTCAGAAGCATTATCCCCTTGGCTCAAACCTATGAGATGAAATAGATGAACACAGTAAAAACAGTGGCAGAAAAGTCCATGAATGAACCTTGGCAGGCTCACAGCGGGCAATGAAGACATGACAGAGTAAAGATTCAACAAGAGAAAAATGGCCAGGTCCCTTCAACACATTCATATCCCACAGAGGTAAAGAAGTGATGGTTGTAGCATGCGTGGTGGGGTTTTATCAAGTGCAACGTAGCTGAGAGAAATTACTGAAAGTCAAATGGAGGTCGAACATGATAGTGGGATGAGAGGAAAATAAGAGGAAAGAACTGGGAGGAATGGACATTTATAGAAGTATAAATACAGGCATGTACATATGTAAATAGATCTATGTACACATATTCGTGGGTTAAACATTAAGGTAGCAGACAAACATTGGGCCTCTACTCCAATACACCCTCGATGCAAGAACACTGTTCTAATAACCTGGCATTCTGTGATGTTCACCTTCCCGACACAATTATTGAAGACAAAATGGGTGCATAAGCTAATATGGTAAAAAAAAAAGCTGATGGTGCTCGGCTATTACAAGATATAAAAAAAAAAAAAAAAAGGAATAGCATCTAGAGTCTTAAAAACGTGAAGTTAAACAAGTGGCCATCTAGCAAGGAAGCAACAAAGCACACAAGGAAGAAGCACACCAGCCTGTGTGAACTTGAGGTGTCAACAGGATCAGGGATCAGTAAGCATAAGACCCAAAGCAAATGATCATATTGATGCAAATGAGGGGGTTTGGAGTGGTGACCCAAAACCCATGTGTAAACAACTACACATCTCCTCAAAGAAGAGTCACAAAGAAGAGATGAACCAGCCAGGGTGCAGTATAGCACTGATAAAACAAACAACATTCCTCTAGTTCTTTATTGCGTCCTCCCCCGCCCCCACTACCATGACCCCAGGTCTACCTCACAAACAGAGTAGAACTGCCGCTGTGGGTTTCCGGGACTGTAAATCTTTCTGAGAGTAGAAACTCTCATCACAGAAGAGAGAAGAGTAAATAGAATACCAGAATTAGCTTTGCTTACACAAACTGGAATGGGTCATCATGACTGGGCCAAACCATTCCATAAAATATGTCAACACTTAGGTAGACATTTACTTAGCTTTACTTGGGCCAACAGTAATTTACAATCCTTAGACGGGCATTTACTTGGATTTGCTTTTGCCACAATTTACAGACATCGATTGCATATCGCAATGTACCTTTAATTTGTCGTAATAGCAGTTGCTTGATGCTTCAATGTTCATCTCTAAGATTCGACCGTGGATAACTTGAGAGGCGTTCACATTTACGATCCACTGGTAATTGGAGTTATGGGGGTAATTACTTGGCCATAAGGGAGAGGCAATTGTCCCCTGAGCTCCCATGATGTTGGCATTGCCAAATACTAGGAGAGAAAGCAGAGTAAATCAGACATTTCAACAACTCTTTAATCGCATGAAAGAAACAAAAGGCAAGGGTTGCGGAAAAGGGTGGACTTTTAATTGACTGTGATTTCGTTCCTGAACACTGAAAGAAATACTGTTTCCCTGTTGGCTTCGGTGCTATTAGTGCCTTGGAGAAGGGTGATTTTGTGAACGGAATTCTATGTCCTTAGAAGCTTGCAAGGGGTGAGAAGAGGCAGTGCCTTTCCATGTAGAACGGGCTCCAAACCCTCCGGGAACTTGGGGGCATTCGAAGGGACGGATTACCCATTTCGTTCCTTGGCTTGGGTTTACCTCTTACCTTGGTTACAAATGAAATATGTATTTTAAAATACTATTAGAAAAATCAATTGCTTAGCATCAATTAAATAGGTGCTTTTAGAAAAGTTGACTAAAAAAATAAACATAATTAGCATTTTATGCTATTGGAATACCCTACTGAGATATGTGAACCTGTAAGTCAATCTGGAAATTACCCTGAATGTCTCCAGTTTGAAGAATAAAATATTCAAATCTATTGATGAGATGGGGCAAATTTGGTACAGAGATACCAAAACCGACACTAAAATATAATAGTGGGCTGCATAGCAAAACATCACGTACAAAAATGAATTCAACAGGAGGTTAAAAAAAGGACTTAAAAATATTAGAATCATAAGAGCATGCTTTTCCTTACTCTTAATGAGCCATTCACACATAATTTAATTTTCCTGATACGTTTAATATTAAAGCCATTCTAGATCATTCCAATGGGGGGGGGGGGATTTGAAGTAAAGGTAGCTCATGCTAAATGCACTGCTGAGGGTGTTTTTGCCTTGTTTTGTTCATTTGGTTGGTTTTTAATCATTTCTCGTTTGCAGGACACAACCTGGAGGTCATCACTAAAAGAGAACCGACTCACCATGAACAAATGTGGCCTGGAAGCCTCTTCCACTGCCCGAGCCATCCGAGACAAATCGGACCCATAGGCTATGCCCCACAATGGATGAGTAATTGAGAGGCAGGATGTGGCCACAGTACCGTCCCACCAAGAGGCCTGTGGCATTGCCTTCCCGCATCTCCACAAAATCTCTGCTACAGTCCCGAGAGTCCTCCAACTGGAAAGTTCTGAATGGGAAGAAAATATACAAAAATCTTAGGGAAATTATCCTTACAATATAAGTTTCAGGATTATTCTGAATCACTGACAGGTAGGTTAATGTGCTCCCGTAAGGAACAACAAAACTGTAACATGGATCACAATGTCTTTATCTATCTCAAAAGATTTCTGTCACTCCCATGTTGAATGCCTATTCAAAAAGCACAAAGACGATGCGTGGGCTACAAGGATTTTCTTTGAAAGGCAAAAATTGGATAAGGGTATAGAAAACATTGTAAGGCAAATTATTTTTAATGCCACTAGCTCAAAGAATTAATATACAAATTCAGAGGCAGTGTTACGCAAGCAGCCAGTGGTAGCAATGGACTGAGTGAAAGCTTGACTGGAATACTTCCTGAGAAAACTGTACGCAGTGGCTGGGTTTAAGGAAGAGGGATGGCAAGCCGAGAACGAAGCCCGGCAATGACCCAGATTGGAAAGGGGTAGAGCATAATTTAGAAATTTATGAAAGATTGAGTTTCTTGGTAACACTGCATCTCTAAGAAACCACTAAGAGTTGTAAGTGAACATTATGATGGGCTAATTTTAAGGGCTCAAATGGGGCAAATGGACCTCACAGGAAATGCAGTGACACATGTAGTTAATTTTGTTGTTCAGTGACTTTGAATTAGTTCTATGTACAACAAAAGAAGATAACAAATAATACACAAAAAGCAATAGGGTTAGGACCCTGTGCACACCAGAGTAAAACTCTGCCCCCCTCTTACAATTGTTCCTGTGCTTGAAACTACTGTGGCAGCCACTTTATCAAGCCATCTCCTAGAGGGTCTCCCTCTTCCTCGCTGTCCCTTTACTTTACCAAACATGATGTCCTTCTCTGGGGACTGGCCTCTGCTGTCAACATGCCCGAAGTATGTGACAGAAAGTCTGGCTATCTTTGCCTCGAAGGAGAAGTCCGGCTGCACCTCTTCTGAGACGGATTTGGTTGTCCTTTTGGCAGTCCACAGCAAGGTCAATATTCTTGGCTAGCACCACAGTTCAAAGGCATCCACTCTTCTTCAGTCTCATTAAAGGTCCAGCCTTCACATCCCGATCAGGCAACTGAAAACATCAAAATAACACCCTGGCTTTTGAATAATGTAAAGAGGTCTTGTGCCACAGAGTGACCTGAGGCATCATTTGACCTCTTGACTGCTGTTTCTTTGAGCAGATTGTGGACCGAAGCAAGAGAAAACCCTCGACAACTTCAACCTTGCCTCCATTCATCATGATCTTACCTTTTCGTCCAGTGGTGAGGATTTTGGTTTTCTTTACATTGAGTTGTATCGCTTAGGGTTTTCTTTACATTGAATGGGATTATCTATTTTTAGCCAAGCTCTATCTGACACGACATCCTCCTTGAATCCAGCCTGAACCTCGGTAGCTCCATTTTGGATGATCTTCAGCAAATGTTACGTGCTATTGGTCTATACTTAATTTGAGCATTCTGGTAGGAGTGCTCCTTTTTTGGAATGTGTACAAATATGGATCTCTACCAGTCCGTTGGCCCAAGTAGCTGTCTTCCAAATTTCTGGCATCGATGAATGAGTGCTTCGTCAGCTTGTTGAAACATTTCAATTGGTATTCCATCAATTCCTGGGCCGTTGTTTTGGACTAATGGCCTCAGTGGAGCTTTAACTTCTTCCTTCAGTGTTGTAAGTTCTTGCTTCTATTCTACCTGAGATGGTGGGACATCTATTAGGTTCTTTTTGGGTAGAGTGATTGTGTACCACACCATCTTCTTTTGATGCTTCTTGCATCATTCAATATTTTGTCCATAGAATCTTGTAATATTGCAATTGGAGGCACGAATGTGTTTTTCTTCACTTCTTTCCATTTAAGATATGCTGAGGGTGGTCTACCCTTTGGGTTTTCTAACTCTTTAGGTCTTTGCACATTTCATTGTGATACTTGATGTTGTCTTCTGTGGATTGCCTAGGCATTTTCTATCCAACTCTTTGCCTTCATCGTGGCCTCTACGTGCGTGAGCTCCTCTACGATGGATCGCACATTTCAGTCTCTTCTGACATTAATTTCTTCATCGTTACCTTTAGTTGGTGGTGCAAAAATACAAATAGCAGTTTTCTTCACTGGATCTCCTTGAAGGCAGATAGCTATATTCCTATCACAGACAGCATTCAAGATTGTTTCTGAATGTTCTTTTTGACCATGAAAACAATGCCAGCATTGCACTGACTGTATTTCCCAGCATAGTAAACCATGGATTTTCTGGTTAAAGGTAGTTAATACAAGTGCATTTCAGCTCACTAATGCCTAAGATATGAATCTTTATGTATGTTTTCCTCCTCGTTTTTGATGACTTCCAGGGTTTCTAGATTCATACTATGCACATTCCACGTTCTGATCCTTAGCAGATTTTTGCAGGCATTTCTCCTTACCTTGAGCAGTGCCCCCTCGACCAATGAAGACCCCAAAGGCTCCACTGTCACAGGCCTTTCCCCAACCCTGTCACCATGGTCGACTCCACTCGGAAACCAGCTCCTTCTCAGTCACGTTTCAAGTGTCCTCAAACCTGAGGGGCCCATCCATTGGTACCATCTCTGCAAATGCTCTGCTTTCATTCATTGGGCCTTCAGTATCTGCCAATGTTTTGAAGCTATGCATAAGGCTTTCAGCAGCCACTTCCTCCAACATGGACAGCCAATTCCTTCTCCCATGCCTATTCTTAGTCTGGAAGCTCCGTTGAGACCTGTTCTCACCGGGTGACCCTGCTGTCATTTGAAAAGCCAGTGGCATCGCTTGCAGCAACACAGCCACACATCAGCTACTGCAGTACAACAATCTGACAGATAAGTGGTGGTTCAAATGGTAGTACTGTTATATAAACATACAAACTATACTCTGGATTGACAGAACAAACAAATCCATCTCAAAATAATTACCATCAGAATCCTTCTTAGAATTGATGGCAGAGGGACATCTGCTCAGGTACCCCACCCACAAGTCATCAGGAAAGACCAATACCCATGGAAGAAAGTGGAGAGTCAGCAAGGGCAAGGGAAGTACTCCATCAGATGGATGGGCACAAGAGCCACAACAATGAACGCAAATACACGCGTGATAATGGAGGTGAAATGAAGCAGGAGAGGGAAGGTTTGGCTCTTGGTATAGAAAGGGGCACCATGAGTCAGAATTGACGGGACTAATAGTGACAAGGACACTAAGATGACAAATGGAATCAGATGCCAAGCCAAACAAACCCATCTCTGTGAAGTAGATTCTCACTCATAGCGACACTCTACATCACAGTACATCTGCTCCATACAGGTTTCAAGACTGAAATTATTTCTGGAAACACACTGCCTCCCCTTTCTCCTAAGGACTCTGGAACTACAGATCTGTCGTTGAGCTTCCCTGTTACCACTTTATCACCAAAGAACAAACTCACTGCCATCACGTTGATGCTGACTCATAGCGACCCAGTAGGCCAGGGTAGAATTGCCCCTGCTAGTTTCCAAGACTGTAACAGTTTATTACAAGACTTTAACAGTTAACTGGAGCAGAAAGCCTCATCTTTCTCCAGAGGAGTGGTTGGTGGTTTTGAACTATGGACCTTGTGAATCACGGTCGAAAGTGTAACCAGTGTGCACCACGGTTCCTTAAAATAGGATAAAGGAATGCTGTTTTAGATAGGGTGGTCAGGATACATCAATAAAAGGAGCCCGGATGGTGTCAATGGTTAAGTGCTAGGCTGCTAACCAAAAGTTTGGCAGTTTGAAAGCACACAGTGTTTCCTCAAACAAAACACCCAACAATTGGCTTCAGTACAGTGTATAGCCAAGAAAATTCAATGGGGCAGTTTGTTCTGCTACATGGCATTCACTCGGCGACACCCAACACAACAGCAACACCATCAACAAATTGACCGGATGACACTGGTTTCTAATATCAGCAACAATTACTTTCCTCTGCCTCTCAGGAAACAGAGAAAAGAGGATTTTCCTCGGCAAGTGAATTAAATTAAATCATCTTTTAACCGTTCTACCCAAAGTGTGATCCCAAGCCAGCAGCATCAGCACCTCCTGGGAACTTGTTTAAAGTGCAGACTCATGCCTCTATCAGAAGATGAAATTTAACAAGATACCAGGTGATCAACATGTACATTAAAATGTAAGGACCACTGGTCCAGAAGATTACTAAATACGGCCATTCAGTTATAAGTACCAGGCTTTTATAATCCAGTGCTAGATGATGGAGAGGCATTCTATGAGAAAGAGGGATGTGAGAATAAAACAAATCTATTAAAAAGCTTTATTGTTGGGGGTAAGTCTTTGTTTTAGACAAGTAAATTTTATCAGCAAATTTGCCATCTTCTCAAATACGTGGAGTAAGATCTGTTAGCAAACCATGAAGCGGACAGAACTGGTACAATTGCTGTTTCTCATTAAGCCTTTTTGATTCCTGAACCAAGACCAATCATTTTTTAGTCACTGCAAGTATACAATGCACTTTTGGTTAATTCCTCTAAAGCTCTGGTTTATGAAACACTCCTTTTTATAAAGGAGTGTTTTGCAACCCTACATAGAGTCAACCATGACTTCCCAATTTTCTCTCCCTACTCAATTTCACCGCAGTGTCCACAACCCAAGCCTCTTGTTTTAGAACTTGATGTGATTCATATGTTTCTCATATGCTACTCGCACACACGAAGGGAATGTTTCCACTCGCTCCATCTGGATGCACTTTCGATCGAGGCAGAAATAATGTTGACAACTTTCAGAAAAGGCCTTCTCGTTCTTATCCACACAAAGAGACACTTTTGGACTTCGTGAAATAATTGAAAAAAAACAAAACTCAAGCAATGAACATAAAGTGCTTGCAATTAAATTCTTTGGGATAAAAAGGTAATAGCGAATGCATTAAAATTGTTCTATAAAGTAATGGAAGACCTTATAGAACATAGTTCTGAGCTGACACTTATGGGGTAGCCATGAGTCTGAACTGCCTCATAGAAACTTTTTTGAAAATTAGATTTCATGTCCATTAAATAAGGTTGCGAACCACTGCTCTAGAGACTTTCAATGCTATTTATAGCCCAAAGTATGACTATGACAGAAGATATTTGAAAATGGACATCCTGAATTTCACACTATATTCTATTCAGCAGTTCCTCAGACACGGGTGCTACCCATTGTCCATCCTATTAGCAAGGATGCTCCTTTCCTGTAGATTCATTAACAGGGAAACAACACACCCTTCAAAACAAGCAAAGCAACACAAAAGGATTTACGTGAAAGACAGCTGGAGCTGGTTGCCAGGGGAACTGACTATGTTCCAGATGCATTCCACATGCGGAGGATAAACATCTGGGTAGCCGGGGCTGTTGAAGGTGCCTTCCATCATGGAGAAAGTCCCGCCACATACTACAAGAAAAGGGAGATCGTGAGTGCAGATCAAAGATCCAAGACAAGACGCCACAGGTTAAAGGAGAAACCACGACACAGCAACGCTGGTTAACACCAAAGTATCCTATTTCCATGTTACATCAGGAAAAGTAATAATCCATGCACCATAGATGTACATTGATAAGCACTGGGCTGCTATGCTGAACAAAACACCAGTTGGTTTGGGGGAGAAGGATGAAGGATGTCTGTTCCCACAGAGATTCAAGACTAGGAAAGCCTAGAAGCCAGCTTACTGTCCCACGGGGTGGCCATGACTTAGATGGACTCTGGGCAGTGGATTTGATGTGGTGTAGTTTTGAATAGCAAGCATTATGCCAGTGGAGCAGAGGGCATCTCTTCCAGGCCTTTGAAACGGCTCTTTCTCCCAGGACGGTGGGAGCCCAACACTCATCTGCCAAGTGTCTGTGTGGGCTAAGCCTCCGGCAGATCCCCTCAGACCGCAGTCCAAGGCCATAAACAGACCTACTGTCAGAAAGGGATTAGTGTAAACTTGACTATCCTGGAGGGACCTAGGGTATAATAGGGCACCTAGTCAGCTGATCACCGTCTTGAGCCATTCTGGATTTAAGTTTAAATATTTCCTTTGTTTGTTCAAATATTTCTTGCTTGTTTCTCATCAGAGGTCTTTCTCTCTGGTTTATTTTAATATTGCCGGCGGTCTTTCTCTCTTTCTTTCTTTCTTTCTTTCTTTCTTTCTTTCTTTCTCGGTCTTTAGTGTGTCTCTGGTATATGCGACAGCAGGGGCAGATGTACAAAGACAATCACTGATGTGATGGCTTGTCTGGGGCATTGGGGGCAGGGAGGTTGAGGAGAACTGGGGAGCAGTGGGCGAATACCAGTGGACGGAAGATGCGCTGGAACAAACTGTGGTGAAGTATATCCAACGCTTTTAAAATACAGTGGGACTATGATATGTCTATTTGATCGCTGTAAAGCTGTCAAGAAAAAAATAAAAGCTCTTTCTCCCGGTGAACTGTAATATTTAGTAATGAAGACTTATCTTAATCAATAGTTCTGATCAGGATTATTTTCAACCCCGGCCTAGAAGAGAAGGCTTTGCCCCGTCAGGAGACCTTTGGAAGACACACACACACAACTAGTCTCGATCTCCCGAGGCGTTGAACTGCTAGGAAGACGGAAAGTAGCAGCTAGGCAGGAAAGACATCCAGTACTGCGTGGATTTCCTTTCATGGCTGCCCCAGTACACATTGGACAGCAGACACATGCGTGTTCACTCATAAGCGACATCCTTGACAATATCAGTCAGGGACTGCCTGAACAGTCATTACATCAAGGACACCCCCAAACTGATAAGCAGGCCCTCCCAGATGGTCCCATCCCAGCGCCTGGCAGCAAAGAAGGCCAGGTTTCCAAATTCGTCCCTCTGCGGTCCACCCTTACAGAAGTGAGACATGTCCTCATCTCAATCTGGAAGATCATCGAAGTGACCCCAGGAAATGGACGTCCCCACTTTGAAGAGTCGCAAAGGACAACACCCAGGATGTCTGCCTCATTCTGTTACTCTCACAGAACCAAGTGCTGACCTTCTTACCTGAGGAGGAGGCCACGTATATAGCACGAAAACCATCGTATGTCCCCACGCCATCCGAGACAAACCTCAGTGTCAGAGCGTTGCTGAAAGAAGTGATGGGATGTGGCAGCGAGTTGCCACAGTGACGGCCTGAAAGGTGACATGACAGAGGGGACGTGACGGAGGGCAATTTTAGTAAGCATGTCTCTACTTACAAGAGACCAAGGCAAACAAAAGAAACCATTATGAGGAGAACCATGGGTCAGTTTTGACAAATACCCAAGGATTGAAAATCAACTATAGATATAAGCATAGATAATTCACAAACATGATAAAAAAACAACAACAACAACAAAACACAGATGAGCTGGCTTCAGATGAAACCTAAACTATGGTCTCCAGGCCTGTAGCTGGGGGGCTGGGGGCTGCGTAAATATGTGACCAGTCCCCAGAGACAGTCTATAGCGGGCGTCCTCAAACTGCGGCCAGCGGGCCACATGCGGCGCACCGAGGACATTTATCCAGCCCGCCGGGTGTTTTTGCCCCATTTTGTTTTTTTAATTCAAAATAAGTGCAGTGTGCACAGAATTTGTTCATAGTTTTTTTTTAAACTATAGTCTGGCCCTCCCATGGGTCTGAAGGACAGTGAACTGGACCCTGTTTAAAAAGTTTGAGGACCCCTTATCTATAATAACAGAGAAAAAACATGGATGCTGGAGCAGACACTATGGCTCAAATGGTTGGCTCTGACATTTACTCTTTCTGTGATCCACAAACTCAATTAATTTCAAGACCCTCGTAATCTTGGCATTATTATGACCAAACATGTAACCCTCTTGTAAATGGGGACACAGACACAGCATTATCATGCCATTGCTGGCAGAAGACAGCTAATGCTGGACGGGGTTATGGATCACGGGAAAGCTGTTGCAGCAGCTTATTATGTTTTTCGAATACATACAAGCTCTTCCTGTTCTTGGACTATAAGCAAACCTAGTTTCTTGAATCACAAGAAACTGCGTTCTTACTCGCAAATGATCTTTACTTAGCAAACATTGCTCTTCCTATTCATTGCAACCATTCTCACCCTCCAGGGCCGTCTGTGAAGATGGTTGCATAGAAACCAAGCAGACCCAGGCTCTAGAAAAGAGCCCTAGAGGAGGGTAGTCATTTGCTCGCTGGGCTAAGGGCAAGGTCACCAGTTGGACATCCTCAGTGGCTCTCTTTTCTACTCCCGCATAGAGCGACAGCCTTGGTAAGCCAGAGGGGCAGTGCTGCTCTGTCCTATGGGGTCACTATGAGCCAGCCGCAACATTGAGGTTTGGGAAATCCCTGATATCAGTCAGTGAAAACCAGAGTACCTCGGGGAGGAGCATCATGGTCCTTGCCGTCCAAAATTTCTACAAAGTCACTCACGCACGCCGTGCTACTTTGAAGTTCAAAATGGCTGAAGGACAGGGTTATGTGATTAACTGTAAGGAAAAAGAGGCAGCATTCAACAAAGGCATGGCAGGCCAAACACACCAGAGAGCCATCTGACCTCCGGTAATTTGCCCAAAGGGCTAGGGAGATCTACAGCCAGTTTAGTGGGTAAGGAAGAAGGGTTTCCTGTGAAGTGTGATGGGATCAGGGGGCTTTTAAGTCTCTGTAGGCTCAACTATGGATAGTAGTAGATAACAGACACTCTTGGGGTAGTCTCATCCTGGAGACCACAGGGAAATGGCTGGTTGGAAAGATGCTGGGAACTAATGTTTTTTATGCAGGGTGTTGTATTCCCCTTGCAAGCATTTTCACGCACTGGTAAGACTCTCTTCCCACTGACATATACATGCCGGATCTCTTTTGTTTTAAGGCTGGTGCTGGAGAGATGCAGGGGTATTTATTTATTTTTTAATCAGTTTATTAGGGGCTCATACAACTCTTATCACAATCCATACATACATCAATTGTGTAAAGCACATTTGTGCATTCGTTGCCCTCATCATTCTCAAAACATTTGCTCTCCACTTACGCCGCAGGGCCAGTTATAGAAGTGGCTTTGAATCACTGGCACAACAGGAAGTGCCTGGGTACATTTTCCTTTTGTTGCTCTTCCAGGGTCCCTAATCTGTAGAATGTGATCTTTTCCTGTTGCTGCAGCTTGAACAGGGAGATCTTTCCTCTCAGCCCTTTATAACTCATTAGAAAAACAACTGCCAGGCACAAGACTGCACTGCTCCAGGTCGGGAGGCTGCTTTATCAATGGCTTAATCTCTGCCCGGCAATTTTCTTTGGGCCTTCACTCTCCCGGCCTGCAGTTGGCTGAGGACCACATCACCAGCCTCCCAGCCCTATGCCTGTCAATAAAGACAGGAGCCATTTCTTAACTCTTAGCATCACTTAGGGGAACTGTTACAGATGATGTCAACCAAACTTCCTTTTGTAAATTAGAATATAGGGTCCAGAGAGCTTCGGCGACTTGTCTACTCTCCTGTCATTAATAACAGAGCTGAGTGCAGACCCTGAGGTCTTTTCCCATGATATCTAAAAATCATAAAAGCTTCCTGCTAACGTCAAAGGCAGGCGGGGCGCCTCGGAAACGATTCATAATTGCTCAGGCGTGCTGCTTCTGAAGCCATTTTGTTCTGTCCTTAAGGGCTTCCTCACATTATCTGTCTTTAAATGTAGATGGTAACCCTTTTTATCAGAGGGGTATCAGGTCAGAAAGTAATGCTACGATTCAAATAAGAAAGTAAGTGCTTGTTCTAGGCCTGTGCTGGGCTTTTTTTGCTAAGGAGATGCAAGGTTTCATCATTAGTTTCCATCTTCATTGAAGATCGATAGACACTGCATTCTTGGCCCATGAATTATTAATTCTCCACTGTTCACTCAGCAACCATCTACTGCATTCCAGGCCCACATGTCAAAACAGTCTATCGGTTATCTTTCGGCATACCGCTAATCCCACATCCCTGCGGCCCTGTGGAAAAGTTAGGGTATTTTGGGTTCTTTTGGGTCCGGCTTTTTATTTGTGTTTTCCCTCCTTGGCTAGGTCTTGAAACTGCAATAATAATCATAAATTAAGACGATACAAGAAAAATGACTTCCTTTTCGGATTAGGGAACACTGTTCTTGTGCACTTC